CTTAGAGATCCTTTCCAACCTTAATGACTCCTAGTTTCACTTTCATTCAAAAATAATCCAGCCATCAGGCCAGGAAACATGAAATTAATTATTACTCTACCCTTAATCAGATTAGTGGTGGACTTGGTAGTGTTAGGTTAATGATTGGACTGGATGATCTTAAAGGTCTTTTCCAACCTAAACGATTCTATGATTCTGTGATTCTATAATGATGGTGAGATATGATGTCATTTCTCTTCATTGATATGAAACTGCCTGTGTTTTACCAAAGCAGAGATGACCTCTTGAGTTTCTCAAAGTGAGGACAAGTTACAAGTTCACTGTAAACCACCCCTGACTTTCCAGTCTGGACATGTAATTTTCTGTTGAAGTAGTATCTCTCTTTCCAGCTTCAGACTAGTTGTATTAGTTCTAAACCAAAACCAAAATACTGCTTGCATTTCCTACAGTCTGAAGGGTTGTGCAGCTACTTCTGCAATGTATCATAACATGTTTCGTACACACTTTACACATTTTCATATCTTCCATTGAAATTTTGTTTATACATGCAAGGGGTGTGCTAAGATTTACTAAACTTTCACATTGATATTGACATGATAACTAACTGGATAAAAGAAGGGAGTTTTGTTTTCTGCAGCTGGCATAGAGCTTTTGTATCATCCAGATGTTTTGTAAATATTAAATCATCTTCAGGATTTTAGCTGAGGCAGATATGAATTCCTTTTTGAGAAAACAGAGTTTATGTAAGTTTCCAAATGCCATACAGTGAATCAATAACAGGATCAGAAATGGAATCCAGAAGTTCATGACCTGACATCCTATCCCTTTTCCATTTCCAAAGAGAGACCTTTGGTGAGGTGGGAATTAATGCCTCTGGGATTCCAATGTAAAAATCAAAGTTTATGTGGCAGAACATATGGTATTTAAGCAAACTCATACAGGATTGTTACAGCAGTGCTCTGATTGATGACATATATAATTTCCCTGCAACTCTTTTTTTTTCTTTGTTTTAATCTGTGAAGAGTGAGAATTTTTTTAAGGTGTTATTGTGTGTGCATATCTTCAGAGTACAGAGAATCTACTAAGGTCAGGAAAACAGAATGATGCAGTTTTGGATTCTGAGGCTATTTCTGATTTTGCATTTCTTGTATTTGTTGCTTTGGGATGATAATTACTGAATGGTTGTTACTGTTTAGAAATTGTTTCTTTACCTAGAGTTAGGATTTTTCCTACCCAAAGGGCGTGATCTAGCAAAGCTCTCACTAAGCTTCTGCATTATACTTAGAGAAACAAAATAGCTGGAGGTAAGCTTGAACTAGAAACTGATTGTGGCGTTGAGAAGAAACACAATATTGAAATCATCTGTGGTAAATTAAACTGGTTCTAAAGCTGAACCTACTGTTAACATTTATTTGTGGTGAGAAAGTAGAAGGATGACTGCTGAAGCTAACAATATGATGTCTTTTTAGTTAGGAGATTATAAAGACTCAGGTAGACTTCTAGCAAGTGGTCTCATTGGTTAAGGAAATGTTATTAGGCTTGGCCTACGTTATGCAGTGCTGGTCTCCTTGCCAGGAGAGACCTGAATGAGTGTAGCTGATAGAAACGTCAACCATGCCAGCCATGAATAAAGAACTCTTAAGTGGATGAATGAATGCTCTCCCAGCTTAATCTTGTACATTATAAAGATTACCCAGCAGGAAAAAATCACTCTTTTGGGAGATTTTCCTCCATCTACTGACTATCAAAATACAAGTGGCTTATCTGCTTCCTTCAAAAGACCCTATCTCCTGAATTCATCACTGTGGACCAGAATTGCTCCAAGAAATATCTGAGAGCATGCAAGATATCTGTGCCCCTAACTTGGACACTTCAGATGCCTAAAAGTGGTTGGGAAGGTTGCCTCTGTATTTAGTTTTGGTGGTTTATAGTGAAAAGGCTTCATGTTCTAGTTTTGGGTTTTTTTCATTCTTTCTCCAGTCTTGGCCAAATGGAAAAGGGCATGATGGAAAGTAGAGCAGGGGAAAAAAAAAGAGGTGTTCTGTAGAATCTAGCATTGGACGTTTGTTTGAGGCAGGAGGAGATGATGCTGCTGAAGGCTACGTCTTCATTTGATGTAAAGTGGCAGAGATTCATAGAGATTTATGCTTGAAAATGTTTAGGAAGGTGATTTACAGTAAGACTTTATCTACTTTAATAGGGAATCTCTGGCAGAGGCCATCTAATGCTCTAGAAGGTGTTAGATCTTTTGTGAATGTTGCTAACTGAGCCACTGAGTGTGAGATTATTGGGATTTCTACCAAACAAATGGCTTCGTAATCTCTTGGGGTAGCTGTATGTTAAATTGCACTGCAAAAGATTTGTGTTTCTTGAGTGAAACACCATAATTTGTCACAGCTGTTTCTCTGTGAATCTTAAGTTTGTTGTATGTTGTTGCTTTTGTGCATATTAATTGGGTTTTTTATTGGCCTAAGTGATTCCTGGAGCTGATAGTATTCTTGAATACATTTTCCAATATCTATTTTGGATGATAAACATGAGACATATACGGTAGTATTTATTTAAATGACGATACACTGGCACAGTTTCAAATTGCTCTATAGGCAAGAGGGTATCAGGATAGGGTTTTTGAATGCAAGTGTTTAGGTTACCTCTTGAGCAGATACTGCTTAATAATGAATCCCGTGATGCTGACTTGGGAAATGAGGTTTTATTTTAATAAGGGAAGAAAAGTCTTTTTCTTGATGCCAGTCACACTCTTCATTTCATGACTTGGGAATTGTCCTTTAGTTGATTATCCTTACTTTTGCAGGACAAGAACGAGAAATCATAGCAGATGATTTACCTCATCCATTTGGATTAACCCAATACAGTGACTACATCTACTGGACAGACTGGAATCTTCACAGCATAGAAAGAGCAGACAAGACCAGTGGGAAGAACAGGACACTTATTCAGGGCCATCTGGATTTTGTGATGGATATATTGGTCTTCCATTCTTCACGTCAGGATGGCTTGAATGATTGTGTGCAAAATAATGGCCATTGTGGTCACTTGTGCCTTGCCATACCAAATGGTTTTAGGTGTGGCTGTGCTGCTCATTATACCTTGGATCCCAACAGCAGGAACTGTAGTTGTAAGCCTTTTTGTTTGCTACTATATTCTTTAGTGCTTCTGGCTCCCAGGTGCTTGTGATCTCTTTCAGTATAGAAAGGGGAGAGATATCAAAAGTCCATTTCCAAGGTTCTGACATTAAAGGTGGTCTTTAAATATGAGGACAGAGTATGGAGTTTTATATCCATTTTTGTGACATGAATTAGGGGTGAAGATTTGTATTCCAAATGTTAGAAATAACAGCGCTGTCAAGTCTGGTCTTTCTTGTTTTACTAGAAGTGCTTTCTAGGTCATTCAGCTGTGTGATTGAAGCTTTCCCAGTCCTTACCTTAGTGTGTAGGTGGGTGCAAGAGATATTCTAAACAAAAAATGTCTTTTTCTCTTAAGTGTTTAATAAAGACAGCAAAAATAACATCCAATAAAACAGCCTCCTAAGTAGTCTGTGCAATGTGCGGATGCACTTGAATTCATATAAGCTTGTTTTCCCCTTGCATGTGATGTTATGAGCCTGCCAGTTCACTGGTTGTCCAATAAGAATTTAAGTTTCTAGTAAAAATAGCAGATGAATACAAAATGGACTGTTGACTTAAAAAAATCAAACCAACAAAGCTTCAGGCATTGTGGCACAGTAGCATATAAGGAAATTTTAACTGGAAAAGATGGGTTTATGAAAGGCTGGTCCTGCTTGACCAACCTGATCCCCTTCTATGACAAGGTGACCCGCTTAGTGGATGAGGGAAAGGCTGTGGATGTTGTTTACCTGGACTTTAGTAAAGGCTTTGACACCGTCTCCCACAGCATTCTCCTGGAGAAACTGGCTTCTCATGGCTTGGATGGGTGTACTCTTCACTGGGTGAAAAGCTGGCTGGATGGCTGAGCCCAAAGAGTTGTGGTGAATAGAGTTAAATCCAGTTGGCAGCCGGTCACAAGTGGTGTTCCCCAGGACTCAGTGTTGGGGCCAGTTCAGTTTAATATCTTTATCAATGGTCTGAATGAGGGGATCAAGTGCATGCTCAGTAAGTTTGCAGACAACACCAAGTTGTGTGGGAGTGTTGATCTACTTGAGGGTAGAAAGGCTCTCCAGAGGGATCTGGACAGGCTGGATCAATGGGCTGAGGCCAACTGTATGTGATTCAATAAGACTAAGTGCTGGGTCCTGCACTTGGGTCACAACAACCCCACGCAACGCTACAGGCTTGGGGAAGAGTGGCTGGAAAGCTGCCTGGTGGAAAAGGACCTGGGGGTGTTGGTTGACAGCTGGCTCAATATATTAGCAGTGGATTTGGTAGTGTTAGGTTTACGGTTGGACTTGATGATCTTAAAGGTCTTTTCCAACCTAAGTGATTCTATGATAATACAGAAAAACCTGTGACTGTGTATTGCCCACTGTCACTGGAGTTACTTAAATTCCACATGGGGAACATAGTTATTTTATAATATGAAAAGGAAATACTTTCTGGGTGAGGGTGTGCACATTTGCCCTCCAGAAGTACACAAAGAAACCTTTTCAACTTAACAGCAAAAATGTCCAGTTATGAATTACCTTAGTTTTCATTGTGAATATAATTGTCTCTCTGGGATTTTGTCCTAAATATTCTTTCCTCTCTATGCGGGTGTATTTTTGACTGTCTGAGTTGCATTTTCTTATGCATTCTGTTTCGGCTTGTTTCAGCCCCTGCCAGCTTCCTGTTGTTTAGCCAGAAATCTGCAATCAGCCGGATGATACCCGATGATCAGCAAAGTCCAGATATTATTCTGCCTATGCATGGGCTACGGAATGTCAAGGCTATTGATTATGATCCCTTAGATAAATTAATCTACTGGGTGGATGGACGTCAGAATATTATAAAAAGAGCCAAAGATGATGGCACTCAGGCAAGTTTACGTGGTGTATATAGTTTTGTGTTGGTCTTTTTGTGTGCTTTGTACTTTATGCTTGACTTTCCCCTGCCATCCTCTGCACCAAGGAATCATCAGTTTAAACTTCACTCTTGCCAGCACTTATTCATGTATATTCTATTTATATGTGAAAATTACTGAAGGCTTTTAGGATTGTGATTTTAATTTATACACAAAGAAGTGTAATAGAATATATACATCATATGTATCTGAAACTATAAGCCTTGAATTGCAATCTTTAGTTAAGGATGGGCACTGAACTGAGACAGACTCACTGTTTATACTTAGGACAGATAAATTGTATTCTAAAATCAATACTGTGCATGCCAATTGTGTGATAATATTGTCATCATTGTAAAGCTCTCTCAAAATGAAAAGTCAGCTATTCAAGCTGTAGTTAAACCCTGAGTGAATTACTGAGTTGGGGACATTATTCTTTTGCACTAGTTATTCACACAACAGTGGACAGAAGTGTACTGTTCTTCCAGGCAGTGTTACGTGTTAACATAGCTTAACTCCCAGGTCAAGATAACAGATCCTTTAAAAACTATGCTTTGAATAAGAATATAAAATGAAATGGAGAATGGACAAGTTATATTTTCCTAGTTCTTGGTCAGTTGTACCTAAACAGTATGACATGATATCAATGGAAATAGACTGGTCTCTTCGTGCATCTAGACACTCAGAGTTTTTACGGTTTCCTTTAAAGGAAGAGATGACAATTTTATTTTTTGGCCATTTCTTTTAAGATTGGGAGGAGGTATGCTGGGATGAGCACCTAGCTGGGTTGTGGATGAATTTTGAAGAAGTTTTGCTCTTGCTTTTTGGGATTATGCTAGGTGCTAATTAGTGTAGTCTGGCTTCTCTTTGGTACTTGCTAAGTGCAAATTGCAATGGAGACTCATTTGCTCTGTGTTTTCCTCTACCTTGGACACGCAGCTTTGAAGTGCAGATCCCCTGCAAATTTTGACTTTCCATTTTTCACTAACTATATTTACTTAATTTTGCTAAATCGTGCTGTTTGCAGATGATACATATGAATTTCATACCTGGGTAATGTTACATTTGATTTCAGGAAAAGAATGATTTTTTTTTTTATTTCTAGGCACACCATCAAGACAAAATAGGTGTAAAGCTTTATATAAAAAGAAGAAAGCCTGTATATCACTATGCAGAACTTGAGGGGTTAAAATCAAATTGTGGCAATATAACTTTCACAAGTAATGTTGTGTTGGGTAATTCATTTGACTTCAGCTGAGCATGGAATGGTGTCTTCAGCTTTCTTGACCCGTATGAACTTTCTCTGGTACTGTTTTTGTGTTTGGATTGGGAGCACCACATTAGGACACTTAAGGAAGCCACTACTTTCCCTTCACCGTTATCCTGTCACCAGAAGCAGTCACCTTTGAAGGCTACTTTGATGTTGGGAGTCCTGCCAGCAGTATTACTATCCCAATGGCACTGGGATTGGCTGTATGCTAGTGGAGCCTGTGTAACGTTAAACAAACAACAGAAAGATTATTTTCCTTTATGGATTTTTTTAATATGTTCTAGTGCTTTTCAGAGAAATAAAGTATTGAAGTCTATGTTAGTATTCAACATAGAGCTAAAAAGCGTAGTGAATAGTGTATGTTAGTTAGATTGGGAGGGCTTGAGGGTTATGATTCCAAGAACTTGGCAATAATGTCAAGTTTTGTAAGGGCTATCATAAAGACGTGAGGTAATGTTGTTAGTATGGGGGTGAGGCAGAGCTGTAGCCATTTGACATGTAAGCAAACAGAACCAAGTTTCATTAAAAGATTTTCATTTTTAAGAGAAGCCAGGACTTAAAGAAAATCAGTATCTACTACACTACAAATAATAAAGTAAGGAGACTTTAACAAGAGAGAGAGATTTGTTCAGCTGACTGCATAACAGTGCAGGTCTGGCCAGAAGGCTGCTTTGTTTCTTGCATTGTTTCATTCAAGATTGTTCCATGCATAAACATTCACTATTGTTTTCTTCCATCTCTTCCTAATTAATTCTACTTATAGGAGGCCCCACAACTGCTTTCTGGGGAGTTTTGCATAATCTTACAGATTTTGTCCAGATGTCTTTCCTCTGATGCACAGTTTGAATCAAGTATCTTTGTTAAGCTTTATCACATTTCTTGTATTTGTTGTTTCCTTGTGGGTGGTTTTAGCTGTTTCTGGACAGTCAGGTAGGTAAACTATGCTTTCTGTGCATCAGTGTTCTTCAATCAATAATCAGAATAATTACTGGAAATTGTTCCCCATATGTTGTCTTGCAGCCTTTCACTGTCATGAGTACTCCAAACCAAAGCCAGAACCCAGAGAAGCAACCACATGACCTCAGCATCGATATATACAGCCATACCTTGTACTGGACCTGTGAGGCCACAAATTCAGTCAATGTCCACAGGCTGAACGGCGAGTCAATTGGGATGGTGCTACGAGGGGATCATGACAAGCCCAGAGCCATTGTAGTGAATGCAGAGCGAGGGTGAGATTCTTTTCTGTACCTTGTACACAGCGTTCTTGGGATGTATATCAGCTCTGTGTTTGAACCTTGTGTTGCATCTGTATATTTTAAAAAGGAGATTTTTTGCATATTTGATTGTTCAGGATGTAGGTGACTGCCTGTCCGATTCTGCCTTTTAAAGGTACCCAGCTTTCTCTTCCTCTTCTCTTTGCTGCCTTCTCTGGTGTGCTGACTTAGACATTCACACAGCCACGTGGTGGGTTATAATGAGGAACTAACCCAGGTGGGGAAAGCAAAGCAAAACCACCTTATGCTGTTTGCTGCATGAGTGCACAGCCCTGCCACCTAATAGGAAAAACAGGAGAGTTTACACCGTGTTTATATCAGCTGGGGATCTGGCTCGTAAATGTTTGGTCATCATAAAACAAATGTTTCCAGGAAAAAAACCCAGATCTCTCATATGATACAACTATTCATGCTAATGTAATAGTATAAAGTTAAACAAACAACCGGTTGTTCTTCCTTCTGTGATCTTTGCTCCTCTCAAGTTTGCTATGAAGTTCTGCTTGCTGAGAAGGAAGGCAATGCAGAAGTAGAGGGGGTAACGGTTGATGTATTTTGTCAGAAAGAGCTCCTGGGCTTTGATCCACAGATGGGGATGGCTTTACCCAAGGATGGTTGCAGAAAGTCTGTGCTAGTCTCTTACGACCCCCACCTCCACTGCAGGAACAGTGCTGCCAGTGCAGCTGTGCTGAGTGCTGAGGCATTTTATGGCCTGGTGAATTAAGGGCAAATGCTATTAATTTCAGGCTATCTGGATATGCCAGTTAGCAAATGTTTGGGGTTCTGCAGCTGACAGATCTGGATCTTTGCAGCTGGGAGCAACAGTCACAGCAGTCATCCCTGTGTAAACCATTCCCACTTACAACATAGAACCTGTGTGCAAAGGTGAGTTGCCTCCCTTCTGAAGCTCTCAGTTAAGTGGCTGGTGTCTTTGTTCTCAGGTACATGTACTTTACCAACATGCAAGAGCGAGCTCCCAAGATTGAGCGTGCAGCCCTTGATGGCACAGAGAGAGAAGTGCTTTTTACAACTGGGTTGATCCGACCAGTAGCACTGGTGATTGACAACAAACTTGGAAAGCTTTTCTGGGTGGATGCAGATCTGAAGCGCATTGAAAGCTGTGATTTGTCAGGTATGTGGTATACGGTTAAACATTTGGAGTGGAGTGTGTGTACGCATAGGACATCATTCCCTCTTTGATGCTGACCCCAGTAACTTCTGTCTCCACTGTTGCCAGTTCTGTGCAGGCAGTCACAGATAACAATTGCTGGTGGGCTCCCATGTTTGATGTGATTAGAATAAATGAGCCTGTAATGATTGCCACCCTCCAAGAGAACCATTTGACTTTCGATATGTTCTGAAAGCAACTCTTGCAAGATCAGATTTAAATAGGTGTTGCCAGTCATGGAACCCCTAAATCACCACCCCCGTGCCTTTTTTTTTTTTTTGTTATGGTTTGAAAAGTTTGCATAACTCTTCAATTTTTATTTCTCTGGAGTTTACAGCTTAGTAAATCAAGGTAGCTTGAAAAACAAACAGAAGGAAGAGGAATGGCTTTCTGTGCTGCAAAACAGTGGAGAGATGTCAACTCATGGCAGTTTTCCCATATTAGCAAGATAAAGCACTACTCCATGTGCATAGCAATAGCACCACATGGATCTTAGAGAGTACTGTTCATCATTGACTTTTAAAAGCACTTGGTAGTGCTGAAGAAGTGGAGAAATGGGCTTGCTCATCTGGTGAGCAGTATAGCACAGAGGATCCAATGCCCTACTTTCTGACTCATGATTCATTCTTTCTTCATCATCCATGTATCAAGAAATGAAACTCCTAAAGGAAGTGCAGAGAGAAGTGAACTAGTGTGAGGGAGTAGAAGGTGGGCTGTCGTAGTGATTGGCATCTGCTGTAAAAGGCTGATTCTCCAATTTTTGTTGGCTCTTCTCTTCTTGCCATGTAGTCACATCCTTCCCTTGTGTTGTAGTGAGGAAATGAACTAAACCAGGAGAAAATTACTCACTTTTCTAAGAGGACAGTTTACTTTTGAGGACCTAAATCTGACTCAAGGTCAGAATTCGGTCTCTTCTGCCAAAGAGGGGATAAAAACATGAAGCTGGAGCTCGGAAGGTAAAGCAGCCCATGCCTTTCATCAGTTATCAAGCTGGATAGGGGGTGTTGTCAAACTGCCTGTGTAGACACAAAATGTCCAATCCAGGATAGGCATCAGAACCTACAAAGATATGTAGGAGAAAAGAATATAGGAGGGAGGCAAGACTTGAGCTATGATACAACTCACGTTTGAGAAGAAAAGGTTGACAGAGTGGGAGACATAACACAAAATGCATCAGAGATACTGAGTGGGTTTTGTCTAGTGATGAAAGGAGAAGTGCTATAGGAGGAGATCCAAAAGTAAAAGGGCAAGATCGAAAAGCACTTTATCATGCAGGTTTTGAGGCTGAAGTGGTATCTACAAACGCAAGAGAGAGAGAAGAGGCACCAAAGAAGATTATGTGGAAATCATATTGTTTAGGAGAGGGGGAATGTACCAGGGAGAAGTTAATGAATTGAGAAGGGAGGACAGGATCAATAACTAGTGCTGCTACTGATAAAAATGTGGTCCCCATTTAATAGGAAGCCATATTATTTAATGAAGCTGTAGTATACAGTGGGCCTAGCTATGCCTAGGTCTTCTACTTGTATGTATGTAAGCATCCTTTTTTCCCCTTTGATTTAGCACACATGCAAGGTTGAGTCACAGCTAGCAGATGGGGGCAGGCAGGCTGCAGGTGCTTCTTGCTTGTCATATTACAGGTTGGAAGATGGACTGTGTCCTTGCATAGTACAGCATAAAATGTAGAGGAGTCTGTTTATTATTGTTTTAGATCTAAATCTTGTCGTGGTTTAGCCCCAGCCAGCAACTAAGCACCACGCAGCCGCTCGCTCACTCCCCCTACCCCAATGGGATGGGGGAGAGAATCGGAGGAGTAAGTGAGAAACACTCCTGGGTTGAGATAAGAACAGTTTAATAATTGAGACAAAGTAAAATAGTAATGATAATAATAACAATATAATAATGATAATAACAATAATAATATACAAAGCAAGTGATGCACAATGCAATTGCTCACCACCTGCCGACCGATACCCAGACAGTTCGCGAGCAGCGATCACTGCTCCCTGGCCAACCCCCCCCAGTTTATATACTGAGCATGACATCATATGGTATGGAATAGCCCTTTGGTCAGTTTGGATCAACTCTTCTGGCTATGCCCCCTCCCAGTTTCTTGTGTACCTGGCAGAGCATGGGAAGCTGAAAAGTCCTTGACTAGCATAAGCAGTACTTAGCAACAACTGAAACATCAGTGTGTTATCAGCATTCTTCTCCTACTAAATCTAAAACACAGCACTATGCCTGCTACTAGGAAGAAGAAAATTAACTCTATCCCAGCCGAAACCAGGACAATCTTGAATGAAAAATACCTGATAATAGGACTTAGGTAAACTGATATATAAATAAATCAGAAGCTAGGCCATCACATGCTGTAGTTGTATCCTGTGATTACAGCTTCCTTTGTATGCATTCTTCCTTTTTGTGATGTTAAAACTTCATGTAAGCGTATGTTTGCATACTGGATATGTATTTTAATCCAATTCTTTGGATCTTTTTGCAGGGAAAACTAAACTTTCTCTGGTTAATATTGAATCAAAGCTTTTAGTGCACATTTATTTGATGGGGTCACAGGTAAAGAATTAAACCCTATAGGTGAGATAAAAGCAGGGGAAAGCTACAGGATTACAAGAAAACAGTGTTTATTAACTAGAGGGTATGTATCATGTAGCCAGAAAACTATGATTGCATTTGATCCAGCTGAGCTCACTGTAATTTGATTCACTGAGCTGTGATTTTTTAAATGAGTTAACAGCATATTTTTATTTTTAAATATTTTGCAATCTTGCATCACAACTTCAGAAGAAATTTGACAGCCAAAGTTATGTTGGCTTGAATTACTTCCTCTAAAAAGCATTTTCTGAGCAAAACAGTTTAAAATGGGCATACATTAGCAAAAGGGTTTTAGCATAAACTGAGGCTGCTGAATAATTTGGACCGAAATTGTGTATAGCATCCTTCATGCCAATTAGACTGGTCTAGACAACATTATTCACTTGTCGGCTTGGGGAGATGACATGGTTGTGGAGGTTTCTGAAGCTTGCACTACACCCTGAGCAACAGCATCCTGCTAAATCATGGAATAACCTCAGACGTCCAATGCTTACCTTTCAGAGAGGGGTGGAAGAACTAAACCTGTCTGTTTTCTTTATGAGGTTCCTGAATTTTTTCAGTTGTTCATGCTTTTTAGACATTCATAAACCATTTGCAAATAACTTGTCTGCCACACCAGTCAATAAAAAAGTAGTGTTTTATATTATTGTTGAAGTGACTGGAAAAGCTATAAAATTGCTGCACTGAAAATATGCTTTGTTTTCAATTAGAACTTTTTTGGATAGAGGAATTGTGTGTCCTTCCAGCTTAATGTTCTTTACATTTAACTGTTGATTTCCATCTTGAAAAGACTACACATCTGTTTCATTCTGGGAACCAAAGTATTTAATTACTATGGAAATTCAACACTTCTTTAGTTGTAACATGTTTTCTCTTCTTTTTTCTAACCATATCTGTTGAAAATATCCTTTTATTTATTCAGATTGAGTTTTTCATTTTGATCATTCTTCTAAACAACAATTTAATGGTGTCATCCAGTGCTATAGGTGCCCTTTGCTTCTCCTTTTAAAATTATTAATAATTTGGACTGTCATGTACTCAAGATCTAATCCAATGTAATTATGTATAGATTAATCACCTTATCCCGTGCTATTTCCAGCAGCTTCCCAAATTGCCAGTGTTCAGCTTTTTGCAGATGAGAGAGAAAAAAGACAATGCTTGATGTACACCCCCAAAAACCATTAAATGTAGCCTGTTTTAGGCCTGGATTTGGGAGGCTGTTCAAACAGGCTAGGATTCTAGCAGGACTGCTAGCTTGCAAGTGTCGTCTAACAACCTCATGTATTCATGATTTCAGTATGCCTTCAGGATATCCTTCAGGAAACCAGCTTGCCTTTTATTTCTAAATGGATGAGCAATTTAGCACTGAAAAAATCATGAAGGCAAGAAGGAGTTTTCTTTACACCGAGTTGAAATGAGGCTTTCCTATTCTTGTGGTATCTTGAATGCAGCTCATAATAGTGCTTTTGAGTCAAAATGTGAGGCTTAGTCTGGCAAAAGGACAGTCATCTTTGAAAATCCAATGATACTGAAGTTCATAGGAGCTAAGGGTGCTCAGCAGGTTGCAGGGCAAATGAACAAAGCACCCTGTGCTTTGTTCACTGAGAACCTTCTTCTGTCACAATGTTTCCTAGTATTTCTAAGTCTTAAGACCTGTTTAGGAGAAGATGAAGAACATCTCAGGAACTGCACTGCTAGAGAGCAGTACTAAGAGCCAAGTTTAGTGCCCACTTAGTGAAATCAGTGCAGGTGCATCTGTTGTGTTCTTTTACTCCTACAAGGATAAAATCCTGTGGTACCTTGGAACTGTGTACAATAATAGACGCATGAGATTACAATCAGGACTGTACTGTCACATACAGTTCATGCATATTTATTCTGAAACAGGAATGAAACAAAGATGTCTTCCTCATTGGTTTGGAAACAAAAGAAATTCAGGGCTAAAGAACTAAAACCCCAATTGCAAGTCCAAGAATTTCTGATTCTTCTACTACTAAATTTGATTTGAGTGCACACTGTTTGTCATGACAGTCAAGCAAGAGTCATTGCAGATAGTAATTTCATGTACAAAACTAATAGAATCTGTAATTGAAATAAATGTTACATTCTTACGCTTGGCTGAGCTCTACATAATTTATGCAGCAAATTAGTTGAATGCTTAAAGCATTTTTATTATGTATCCAGATTCTATAATCTAATTTTGTGTACATAGAATCATAGAATCGTTTAGGTTGGAAAAGAC